CCGTGGACAGCCGTCAACGGCTGTGAAGTGAGTCCTAGTGATGGGAAAGTTCGGTTCAGTTCAGGTTCGGGGTTCTTTTTCTCAAATGCTGAACTCGAACCTCGGTTCAGGTTCAAGCATTTGCTGAACCGCGAACCTGAACCTGTGTTTCAGGTTCAAGACGGTTCGGTTCGGCGTTCAGACGAGTTCGAACGCGTGAAGCGAACCTATTTTACAAAAAACACAGTGCAGCGCACACAAGAGAACTTTTGAAATTACTCTAGTAGTAGAGAGACTACATAATATATTCGTTGTCATCCAGTTCCATCATTTCCACATCCGCAGGAAAGCCGTAGTGCTCCGCGTCAAGCTCTGCGATGAGTGCATCCATGTCTTTGCCCGCATCCTCGGTTGCACCGATACAGCCATTTCGGTAGGCACTTTTGAGAAGCTGCAATGCTTCAAAGATTTATAGAGTGAGTTTGCTGCGCAGTTTGGTACCAGTGAGACTCCCGCTGGAGAAGGCGCGTTCTGTGGCAGTCGAGGATCCTTGGATGGGCAGCCAAGGGTGGAGTCTGACATGGAGAAAAGAAAATGCTGCTGAGACAGATTTAAGAGGGCCAAAACGACTCAGGTGAAAGCGGATTTGGCCACACCTTTTATACGATGAGTGCATGTAGTCATGAAAGACAGCCGGCTAGTTATGTCGTTGGACACACGGACGGCAGGTAAATTGTGCAGGGAGGACGGAGATGAAATTTATACCAGTTTAGTAACGGCATTTGGGGAAATTTTTGGAGAGGTTCAGGAGTTCGAACGCGTTCGGACGCGTTCGGCAAATTTCTGTTTGTCATGAATCGTGAACCGAACTTGGGCGCTCAGGTTCGGCTATTTGCCGAACCTGAACCTGAACTTCCCGTTCAGTTCAGTCTGGTTTGGGTTCGAACCGATTTCCTGAACCGAACTTTCCCAACACTAGAAGTAACGGAATGGACGGCAATTTTGCCGTCCCGTACCCGTCCCGCAAATTGCTTTGCTTAAGGCTCAACGGGACGGGACGGCATGCCGCTGACGGCACCCGTCACACCCGTAAATACAGGGACGGTGGGCAGCCCTAGGCCTAATGCATGTGCGGAGTTTACGAGGAACCGGAGGGGTTTGGCAAGTCATATCTGCTCAGAAACAGAGCGCATCGGCGGTAACACACGCGTCTCGGCACACTGTAACCTAGGCGCCGAGGTAGTTCGGATCCCCGGTGAGTCAAAGATAAGTCATATGCCGATTCACCGGTGGAGTATTACTGAGCAGCTCTGAGCATATAAAGCTCTCGCAATACGGCCCAAGAATCGTACACCTACTAAGTTCCTTCCCTGCTCTCACCTCGAAATACAAAAATGACCGGGCCATCCCAGTTCACTTTCGACGCAGCATCGCAGGGGCAATATCGCCCGCCTACCCTTCAACAAGCGAGCAACCTCCAAGCTCTATTTAAATCAGGAAAAGTAGCAGTCGGGACGGCGCTCAGCTATCCCAGCAGGCACGTTGCGAAGACCATTGCTGTGACGGGCGCGGACTGGTGTTGGGTCGTGAGTATAGTTCATCTGACGTGTTTCCCCATGCTAATGACGATGGCATTCTTAGGACGCAGAGCACGTCGCGTGGTCGCAGGATCTCCTCGTGGAATGCATTCAAATCATCATCCATGAGAGCGGCGGGAAGATGATCCCTGTTGTCCGCGTCCCCAGCAAAACTGCGTTTGATTACATGGTGAACGAGGTTTCACCCTTGCGTTGCGATTAATTACTTACACAAATTCAAGGCGTGGTGCTTGGATGCTGGTGCTGGCGGGATAATTATCCCGCACATGGAGACCGTGGAGGAGATGAAGGCGATCATCGCTGCCTGTCGCTTCCCGTGAGAGCTGAGCTAAAATGTGCTGTATTCTTTCACTTACCTCAAATTCCACAGTCCCATCGGCCACAGGTCCTTCCCGCCGTTCACATATGTATTTACTTGATCCATCCTTGAACGAAGATCGTTGCTGACTGGTGCAATAGATACCGGGAGTCACAGATACAACCCCGGAGGGAGAAAGCGTCTTCTCTCTCGCCAATAAACACGTTGCGCTCATCCCACAAATCGAGTCCCGCCTCGGTATACAAAACATGGACGCGATCATGAAGCTGGAAGAGATCTCCGCGTTTATGATCGGATGTGCGTGTCTCCTACTGAGCGAAACCCGGCCCTGAATGCCACTGCAGCGGGCGATCTTCGGCTTGACATGGGCCTGCCACTCGCATTCGACGGGGACGAGCCTGAGTTTGTCACCGCAATCCAGAAGGCAACGAGAGTTTCTAAGGAGCGCGGTATTCCCCTCGTCGGCGGCGGATTGGGCATGGAAATGGTCAAGCAGCGCATCGACGAGGGATATAGAATTCTCGTATGCTGTTTCGATCTTCATACGCTTGCTTATGGGACGATAAAGGCGGTGGGCGAAGCTAAAGCAGCGGCTGAAGAACACATGAAGGAAATCCACGGCAATTAGATCGCATAGATTGTAGAGTTCGAAGGACATCGTCTTTGTAACTACCAATTGCTGACCCAGCTAGATTCGGGCCGCTTCGTTAGCAAAACCTCTAATACGAAAGCCACATATGGCGGTAGCTGAATTGGAGCCTCCAACTTGACAGGAATAGAACCGTCGACGCCGTCCTAGAGCTGTTCCCGGAACCACCAGGCCCTCGAGGTTAATGGCGAGCGGTAAAATTTCCCTGCAGTCAGTGACTACGACCGGATCATTGCCAACAATTCGCATGAGCAGCCGTATACTCCCTTGCCCCCTAGGAAGAATTACGTAAGCAACTTACTGGGAATGGCGATGTGAGATCCTAATAGTAATAATCGGTACTTAGGGACTCGCGTGATTCGTCCAGACCGACTCTCTAGACTCTAAATAGACTCTAAATACAGTCTTTGACGTTTCGCCCTTGAGTTCGTGACTAAGCATCTCCTTATTTAGAAGGTGCTTCCACGTAGTCTGTTGTTAACCGCGCCACCGCATATAGGTCGCGCCGTTATTACATAATCATCGGAGTTTCAATTTAACATGCAACCACTCTGCCCTTCAGGTAGCTCTGGTTACAAACAATAACAGAGAAAGTCTCTTTCATTCTTCTTCCAAAGAGAACTGTGTCTCAAGAACTGTGAATCCGAGCCCATCTCCGCCCAAATCATTTTCTCGGGCTTTTCCGCTTGCCGGGCCATCAAATTCGGCATCAAGCTTCTGGAATTCTGGCACCACACGCTTGCTGAACAAGTTGGACTTTTCATCTGTCTAAGTGGGACCCAAGCCTCAAATCCAAAGAAAGGATGCCCCCAAGATATGTTTGGGTTTCGAAAATTGTGGTGATTACATAATAGCGGCGCGGCCGATCACTCGATCAACCTTACTGACAGACTATAACAAACGAGGTACGAGTTGAGAATGTTATAGCGTCTGTTTATAAGAGACTAGCTTCCACGTGAGTTTCGGCAGCCTCTCGGCCTCTTTCATTCTCCGACGTCCTGGCGCAACAATGCATTTTTTTTCCTCCCACCACCATGCCACATCCCCATACCCTCCCCCCAACGGGCCTCCAATACTACTTCCACGTCTCAAGACCTCCGCTCGCCCTCCTTTCTCGACACCCCGTGGCCCCTGACAAGTACGCGAGTTCGTGCCACTTGCCACTGGAGCACCACCAACCTCGGCCTCCCGACTCGACATGGCCTCGGACGTGTCGAGCGCGACGCCCTGTGGCGCGTAGGCCCCTTGTATGCCCCCCGCATGCGCGTAGTACCCATCGTGCTGTCCGGGGAGTGCGTGCAATGGCCCATGGCACACACTTAAGGCCGCAGGCGGGCGCGTAGAGGTGCCACTCGGGCCCGTCGACTGCCACTTCTCTTGGCGACGTAGGGCAGCCTGTTTCCTACCATAGAGTTACAGTACCTATTCACCTCGCATTGTACTTGTCGCATACGTACTATTAAATAGAGTCGGTGGTCATACCCAATTGACAAGCTTTACAAGCCATTTTTGCGAGTCAGAATCCCTTCAATGACCTTCAAAATTCACCTTCGCCGGTTCGCGTTGCGCGGCATTGCGGGGTCTGAAAGCAAAAGGCTGCCGAGGATGCCGTTCCCGAAAAGGTCCTTCCCTTTAAGGAAACACAAGGGCGGAAAGTGGACAACTTCTAAATATTATTAGGATGCACTTGTATCTTTCTATAAACAGCCACTCCTTATCGAAGAAGCTGTACTCATGAATGACGGAGAAAGGCGGTGGGGGGTTTGGATTCGGATTTGATGTGTGATTCTAAGTTCGCGCGTATAATCATCTTATTGAGAAGAAGGTTCGAAGAATTGAAGAAGAATTAAGAACCTGCGGGCTCCCCGCATCACATGGGTCTCAATCCGGGAATAGTGGAATAGAAGCCGAATGGGATCAAAAGTGTATGGGTCGGAGAAAGAGACAGCCAGCAGCAATGATGATGCTTGATAAATATGACGGAGTACGCTCGAGCGGTTTAAGTACTCGATTTTTTGAACTTGGACTTCAAGTTAACTTTTGTTGCTTCCGTCGGCTATGATGCGGAACACTTCACTCGGCACTTCAGCCGTTCTTAATTTGTTGGAGGGCGCGATGTCGTAGCACTGTCCCTCCCTGGATTCGTATGTTCGTCCGCGCGCCGCCTGCCAACTGGATCGTCGGCAACAGTGCCAGAATATACAAATCGGGAGGGGCCTGGACGACTTGTACTTTGCCGGCTGAAAAACAGGCATAGGAACTCGGATGTGGTGCATGATGCACGCCTGCTCTCAATTGTCTCCGAGGATGCAGCTGATGCAGGAGCCATGGGTTCGATTCCCAGCGTCCGAATTCAAAAGAACCGGCGTATTTGTTTTTTTCTGACCGAGGCGAGCCCGTAAATCTCGTGCTTCACCCGCTGTTCACTTATCCTGCTTAAAACAGGCACAAAGACTCGGATGTGGTGAATGGTGCACACTCGCTTCCTGTAAATTATGAAGGTCCTGAGGCGGGAGGCCTGGGTTCGATTCCCAGCGTCCGATTTACACTACAGTTTCCTTTCTTTTTCCTTCTGCCTCCCTGATTTGTTTCTTAAGCCAGCACAGATTTACGACGGTGTACACAGCTGGGTAGTTGTGGGAGGTTTTCTGATTGGTTGATCGGTTGCGGGGGCCGGGGCCATTTTCTTTCGCTGACCAGCCGACATGCTTTAAATTCTCCTGTCTGACTCTCTCTCTCTCTCTCTTGAAGATCGGGATATAAACTTGGACGCTTTCGATGGTGCACGCCCGCTTTCATTCGAAGGCTTCAGGGGTTCCCAAAGCGGCATGTGTGGGTTTGACACGAGGGGTCCCGTTGTAGAGTCCGATTGATTACCAGACGAGATCATTGGTGAGAACCTAGCCCGAACACAAGGAACTCGAACCTAATTCAAGGAGTTTGAGTGTGTTCCAGGATGAAGCCCAGGGGAAAGATTTTGAGAGCAGGCTGAGCAGCATGTATTCGCAAGTTATGCACACCAATGCATCCTATTTATGCTGCAGTCTGTCAGAATTGCATTCTCAGTGGTGTTTGTAGGCGACACAGTTAATGTGGAGGCACTGTGAAGGTTACAGGGGTGCCCGGAGGGCCTTATGAATTGAAGAGAACTCGTTTTTACAAAACTGCCAGGCAGATTTTGGCGACCTCGTTATGTTCATTAGGTTTTTTATCCCAACAACGCGAAATAGTGGCTGTGTTGAAGTCTTTTTAAAGGACAGCCATAGGACAGCCACTAAAAAGGCTACGTTTTTCATGATAAAATAGTGGCGGTGTCTTAAAGGTGCATCTTTTCCTATGTAACCCGCAGCCGATCGCGTGTCGGTCGCGCGAGTTCAAACACGGCGCTCGCCGCCTTTTTTTTTCTTTAGTCTTGTTCATTTTTTGTCGCTCACCCGCTGCACCTGTGGGCGAGATCTTCACTGCACATTTTGAGAAAGATGTTTTCTAAATTCCCCAACTTTGTTGAGGCCAGCAGCGGCTGTAACTGCCGAGAAAAAGTTTAAGTACAGAAATAGCAGGGAAAATGTCTGACGTCTTTCGTATTCGATGTCTGTACATATGGCTTAGGTCACACACGGGATGATATCTAGTAAGCCTTCTCTTTCGTCCTACACCAACAGGAATTGTACCGTTATTTTATGTAGCAAGATATTTCTTAGTACAGAGCATTTTCCGGATTTCCCTGCTGGAATCCTGGCTCGTTGTGATGCTATCTAGGGGCAGATTTTGGCGGCTTTAGTATATTTATACTGTGTCTTTTGTTTCCCTTATTCAGAATTTCAACTGGGTCCACCATTTCTGTGCCGTACAGTGTTCGACCGCTTTTTCATACTCGTTAAATACTCGGACGTGCCCGGTCCGCTTCATCTGGGATGAAGCTGTCTATGTAAAAAGTCGACTGAGATGTATAAATAATTAAAGTTTTGATTTCCGTGAGACCTGCCACGGCCGGTACCATTTGGAAAGGCAGCCCCTTCGTGGTCCACAGTCTCACCCCACCATTCATACGGACAAACCGCTGCCCCAGGTCGACTCGGAATTTGATTTCAAGACTTGAACCGATACCACAGCACTTTCCTGTATCTTGCCCCATTGGAATTACTGCTTTTTTCAACGAATTTTCTGAGTGCTGCATCAATTCGTGCTGTTATACCCACTAAATGAATCTATCCACTAATCCTGTTGTCTATATGTTGTATTGGATACATTTAGGTGATATCATGCTCCAAATCAGCGTTTCCCACACCATGCACGCTACTGACTGCCTCCGAATACGAGATAGCATTATCGCTTCAACTGGGTGAGGGCAGTACACGGGGGCTCAGGAAGTCCCTTCATCGAATCCAGTAGGCATATGAATATCTAGATAGGGTGAGATCCTGTATGGCCCCTTCTCATGTGCGGAGTATAAGTGAATCTTTATGTTTTCCTGATTCCGTACACCGTGAGAATATCAATTTGATCGCCGAAGCGGCCGGTCCTTTGCGCGGAAATGTTCTGCAGGAAATACTGTGAAGTACCAATAATTTAGAGGGTAGGGACCCTGTGTGAGCCATCCAAAAGCCAAGTTGTTTACATCACAGAGATAGTGGGTGATATGTTTGATTCCAATAAACTAAAGAACAATAACACATGTACGCACTTACGCACTGGCTACATAATACTATTCTAATCATTGCTCTTGTGTCTAAATATGTTGTCCAAAAAAACCCTACACTACATTGATGAAAGAGAAAGGGAACATATGAGGGTTCCTTTGTACAAAAAATGAAATCCCGCGCGCGAAAGAAAGTTGCCGCGTGAAGTAAGCGCGCGCGAAAGAGAAGTAAGTGCGCGCGAAAGACGGAGGAAAGTACTAAAGGGGCAATAGCCACTTTCTCTCGTGCGCAGGATTTCATTTTTTGTACAAAGGAACCCTCATAGAACACAGTCTGTAGCGGCGACTTTGTTCTGACAGTTGAACAATAGATCACGTGGTGTCTCGGATGTGGCTGGGATGCCGAACTTCGGCGTATATCGGTTACATTCACCCTTCATTGCAAGCTTCAAGCTCCCAGTAAAAATCCCCTATGCCGAGATCTGCCGAGATCTGCTAATCTGCCGGATCCTGACTTACTTCTGCCGAGCTATGTCCCCATCTGCTTGCAACTGCCAACTTACAGACAGCCGCTAAAATGTACATTTGATTTGGCAGAATTCAAGTCCATTTCTTTGACGATCAGTCGTGCACGACGTGTCACAGCTGCGCACGGACCATCTCTAACGGAAAACCTTCTTGCTTCCTTCCTACCACATGTCAACGACGGCCTATGGGTCGGCTTGAGTCGTCCAAATAGTAATCACACCTGGGGTTTAGCAACCTGTCTAGTAACCTGTGCGGTCGCTGCGTAATAGTACGAGACAAATGGCTTCCTCGTTCGGTCCTGGGATGTAAGGCCACAAGTGTTGTGCAGGTGGGAACTGGTAGGAGCCGAAGACGGAGTGATATCCACTGAGGAAGATGATACGAGGTTGTAGGCAGCGCCATATGTAATGCCACAGGTGAGAATCCGGTGTCCCTCATAATCCCGAGGGAACAAGAGTAAAGCAAAAGTAAAGCCTGAGATTAGACGAGGTAGAATCTAAAGTACAGGAGTTTCTACCTCGGGTTTGTATATTAATATATCTAGGAGTCCGATCGTATCCACCCTATGTGCTATGTTTCAATATACCCTATGTGGAGCATAAAGGGATGTTGTTGAAACTGAAGAGGGGTTAGGTGACAGGGATGTGATCGCGAGTTGTCGGAGTATCGTGATCGCCTGTTGTTCTGTCCCTCGGGATTTGATGTTTAAGCCAGAGAATGTATAGGCGACAAGGATGTGATCGCGAGTTGTCGGGGTATCGTGGTCGCGCGCCGTCCTGTCCTTCGGGATTTCGTGTTCTTGTGACACGTCACGACGCGATCGCGGGATAACGCGTTCCCGTGATTGCGGTCTGACCTGGTGTTCAAGGTTTGAAAAGCTGTTTGAAAAGCCGGATCATGACACCACATCCCTGCTTCCCCTAGTTTCTCCTCCTGCTCCCACCTCGTGTTTGCCCCAATTGTTCATGGTACTGTGCACACTATGCTCACACTACTGCGACAAAGTGTCTCAGAATGTGAAGATTGGATTGTTGACTCCGTGAATAGGATCATCTGTTGTGCTTACTATTAGTTAGTCTTCCCTTTCTAACATGTTTTCTTTGCAGCACGTACAATGTGAACACATGGATGTAGGAGCAGGTTAGTAGAGACTGCAACTCACGAGCTTTCTTATCCCTTCGAGCCACGGCAATCCCTATCCATGCATCTTTTTCCATTCCATCTGCTTATATCTCCAGACTCCTTCAGTGTCGCTCGCTCTGTCTGCCCAATATGTACCTACCTCTCTTTCGTCGCACGCCGTGCGCTTGCTATGGCTTTACATGATGATTCCCCCCAGCATTGTTTCGACCTGGAGCGATGTGAGTTTGCTTAATCTCCTGCACATATACTTGATTTCTTGCAATTGTCGAGTCAGTGTTCGCACCGGCATGTACGTGTAGTTCGCCCACTCCCCTCTTTGGTATCGTCTAACCGGCCCTGCATTTGCATAAATTACCCATTTCCCACGCATCGTTCGTCCATGCCCGCTTCGTAGCACAAGCAATGGCACCACATCTGTCTGTCCACTGCGAAAGCTAGCACTTCAACAACGCAGCTCAGCACTATTACTACTTGGTACGCTCTCCGACACGTCTCAGCATCACATCACCTCGCAACTAATCGTGAAGTGAATCAAGTGCGAATACGATGCCCTCAAGACTCAAATAATGCCTCTCCCCGCCCGTTTCACAAACCTCTTTGGGTGCACCTGTGCCTTCCCCGCTTGCCCATATGCAGAGACTGACTATAGCGCAGAACTCGATGAACAACTCTGCCGACCGCCGATACTCCCCAATAGGTGTGTTTATTATTTTCTTTGCTTTATTTCTCTTCGCATGATCCCTGCTCAATGTTTTGTAGAGCGCACCGCCATGCACACCTCCTTTATTGTTCCGCGCCCCTCCAACTCACTTCGGGTGTTGTAGAGCGCCACCGGTTGAAGACACATATCATCCAACGAGTCTCGGGGTGGCACACATGGGGCAAGGTTCCTGCGCACACTTGTAGGACACGGTTCGTTGTAGCAAGCTTGAATAATATGATCTCTTTATCAATCTGCGCATGGGAAGCAATGGATATGCCGGGGCAGATATGAAAAGTGCGACGGCAGACCTGATCCGAGCATACTTAAGCAGAGCTGAGCAGATTGAAACTCATTGAGCTTAAAGTGGCATCTGCCTTATGCTCATTTCTCTGCTGCGGTCTGCCATACTTGCATAGGGAATTTTCACGGGGAGCTTCAAGGCTTGTTGAATCCTCTTCCTTCCATTGATAGATGTACCTGTCCGTCTTCATCTTATCTCCATCATGATGGCAATTGTTGCGCAACTGACG